TTTTTTGTTGATGATTGACTTATCGTTGTAGCTCTAGTTGTTCTGCACAAACAACTTGGTTGTGTGTGTTCTAATGTTAACATTATGTAATAGCACTTGCAATCCCCTGGAGCTACATAAACAAACTGCTCCACCATGTGGTTTACATACAACATAGAAGGTTGATTATAAACCTTACATCAAAGTGATTTTTGTCTTCCACAATGTGTGGTCTGTTACAGAAGTGTCCAGTCACTATTGTGTTTATTAGGAGCTTGTTCGTGTTCTGAGAACAAGCATAATTATGTAAAAATGAATATAGATAATCTGGGTCATGCAGATTAGAGTGATTCTTGGCCTCACAAACCTGGTTGTCCTCATGAGACCTGAGATTTAGACATCTCCTCAATTTCTGACCATCGGTGGTATTTTGGAGCCCAGGTTGCACTCTGGTATAACGTGTTGTTGGGTTTGGTGGAAGCACAACTAGTCATACACACTCTGCTGACACACCCACACCACATCAAAGCTTCCTCTGTGCTTCAGCTTCCCTCACCTGCCTATACATTTTGTCTCAGACATGCTAGCACAGCCCTCCCCAGTATTTGTGTAGACCTCCAGCAGGCAGGCTGTCAGAAGAGCAGATAACCTCTTGCTAACCTTGAGCTGTAATAAGGCCTGCTACTGTTGTCATGGGGATTCAGGTGGGCAGAGGGAGACGGGGGTTTCAGTGCTAAACACTGACCGAGAGGGCACAGGGGGCACAGGCTGGGCTGACAGATTGTAGCCCCCACCCCCTTCATATTGGCACCTCAAAGCATTGCTGCCTGACAGCTTGTCTGGCTTCTCCTGGCATTAATGGTGGAGTTCGCTATGCACAAACACAGGAGGTCTGGAATCAAAGAAATATTGTATTGCTATCTGAAGAATATTGCATTTTCATAAGACATTCATGAATTCAGTGTCTTTGTTTGTGTTCTTTAGATCATTTTTCAGTTTTTTGCCAAGTCTGGTATTTAATACAATAAAGTAAGGTGCAAAGAATGGCCTTAAAGGCAATATCTCACGCAATATCCCACAAATGGTAAATATTTTATATGATTCTGGATGAGCAGGGATGTAACCTGAAACTAGTCAGAGTGGCGGAGGCATACAACTGTGAGGCGGTAATTCTAGTTTAAATAGAAATAAATATCTAAAAACAAACTTTTTAAGTTCCAAGTACTTTTTTTCAGGAACTAAAAGGTTCCTTTTGCCCATTGTTGTCTACGTTTCCACCGTGGCGTAAATACCCGGGAAGGGGAAGATTATGTATTACTTGACATTACATTATTCACCACACTTGAGGACATAACATGAACTAAAATACGGGACAAATTGAGTCCCGTATATATTCAATAGCCTACAGGATGCAGCATTTTATTTTCAAATATGTGATCCTGTATTATACGTGATGGGTGGCAACCCTAGCCACTCTGGTTGTTGTGGTCCTTTTTCAGTTTTTTTATCTTCTCCCTTCGTGGTGTAGAAAATGTGTTTGCTTTCTTGACGAGTACTTGACCAGTTAGAAATGTTCAGCACTGCAGACCACACACCCCAAAGTACGGGAACCTTTGGAAAGTACCACCCCCTGACCAGGTACCTTTTTGGGAGTCGATCAATTACCCTGGAACTAATTTTTAGACCCTGGTTCCTGCAGGGGAAACACGCATAGTTCCTCAAAAGGTTCCTGGGGAAAGTTCCTGCGGTGGAAACGTGGCTATAGTTTGCATTAGAAACTTGCAGAACATAACTTCAGAAGTATGAGGACACCTGGGGAGTACAAGCAGGGTCCAGTTGAAAATTAGCTAAACTGTGCTAGTCAGGTTAGCACAGCCTGAATAATTATAACCACTGGTGCTGCAAACACAATTGAGTAGCCAGAGTAGGAACATCCTCTGTGGCACCTCAGCATTTGAGAGATGACCCATGGTGGCCCTTCGGAAGGGAGCGACTCAGAAGGCTGGGGCTGACATATGTTACTCAGCGTGACGAGCCGAGTCCGTAGACACCCAATTTGTGGACTTTTGACAAAATTTTTCGTCGCAGCAAGCGGGCCTCGGAGACATTTAACGAGGCATCCCTTCCGAAGGGAGCGACTTAGAAGCCTGGGGCTGACATATGTTACTCAGCGTGACGAGCCGAGTCCGTAGACACCAAATTTGTGGACTTTCGAGAAAATTTTTTGGAAATGATTAAAACACAGAATTTAACCGTGTCCCCCGGCAGCATATGAGAGACCGCCCATGGCGGCCCTTCGGAAGGGAGCGACTCAGAAGGCTGGGGCTGACATATGTTACTCAGCGTGACAAGCCGAGTCCGTAGACACCAAACTTGTGGACTTTGGACAAACTTTTCCGTTGTGACATTCACACTAGTCTTAATGGTGTGGGCACCTCAGCATATTGAGAGATGACCCATGGTGGCCCGCCGCCCCCCCCGGCACAGGCATTGCGCCCAGCAAGCAGAGCTAGCCGCCTGGCGGCCCGCCGGCGCCCCCCCCGGCACAGGCATTGTGCCCAGCAAGCAGAGCTAGCCGCCGCCGGCCCGCCGGCGGCACCCCCCGGCACAGCCATTGCGCCCAGCAAGCAGAAGCTGGCCCGCCGGCCCCCCCCCCCCCAGCTACAACAAATTATCATTGTAATCTCCACAATAATACTGGTTGTCACCCTGGCCCATATCATTTCCTGTTATAGACTAACCTCGGCCCCCCATCTCAGAAAGGAAAGTTGATGTGGCCCCCACTGAAAAAAGTTTGGGGACCGTTGCTGTAACGTAAAGAAAACCACAACTATTTTAGGGGAGAAATGAATGAAATGCCATCTAACCTCTAGTGTCACACATGGCCAGTGGAATTATAACGTTGTGATTGAATTGATTGTGACAGAAATTGACCTTTGCCAGATATATATTTTGCAATAGGTTACAGGAATTAGGGTAAATGTTCACAGCATTCTTACACAACTGCTTGTAATGTAATGAACATTGTGATAAAAACTAAAAATATGTTGCTCACATAACCTGTCAACGTCATGCATACAATAAAATATGCGCTACATGTTGATTTTTGGCATTTTTTATCAAAACTGTCACCGTACTGACATACTGTATGTTCTAACTACAGTCTAAGATCTGATGTGTACGTGCATTACTCACTAAGTATAAGTATAACACACCTCCTTGTCACTGTAAAATGGACAGCAGCTACTTTGGGGGGTAGAATTATGGAAAAATAGTACAGATCTCTGCTTGCATCTCCAAAATGTGTAGTTCTATACATCAGTTCAATGCTGACTTGTCAAGTATGCAGTGATATGTGATAGCACTGGGACAGGGCTAAAATAACTTTTTTTTTTCAATAATTGTCCTTTATTTCCAATTTGAATAAGTCAGGCCTGTTACATCGCCGTGATTTTCTTACTTCTTGAAAACCAATCCATGCTAAAGCAGTTAAGGAGGACATTTTGGGGGGATATCTGATGTGGCCCCCACTGAAAAAAGTTTGGGGACCGCTGCTCTATACACTCCTCTTTTTGGGAGCATCATGGTTTCTTTGTAATTTCAAGCAACACTGGGCCAAGATTAGTAGATACTGGCCTTATTATTCCTGGCTTTTCATGTGTTTATTGTGAAAGCCCATAATGCATTAATGATACAAATATGACGCGACCACAGAGTGAATTATCACAGTAAAGAATACAAATCTTCGTAGAAAAATGCCAATAACTCATTTTGTTCTGTTAACGATTTGCTTGGAATTATTGAATTGAACAAAAGAATTTTGTAAAATCACACAATATGATCGTATTGTTACAATGCAGTTAAACTGATAATACTGAATTATGCCCCATTATTTCCTTACTCTATTTACGGCAATAGAATTATAAGAGTGCATGTACTGCATACACACTAAGTGGAACAGTTTGGTTCAAAGAGAAAAAGAAGTCAAATAAATAATTCACTTTTCTGCACCATCGTGAGAATCTAATTAGACAAAGAATAAAAGCCTGAACTATTGAGACTAACTGACTTGAACCTCATTAATAACGCTTGGTAAATTGGGCTGCTGCTTGCTACTTGTCTGTGTGTTAATGTGTATGTCAGCTGTGTGTGTGGTGTAAGTGTGTGGGTTTTCCTTATGGCAGCCCAGGAGACAAAAACAGGAAGATTGAGGGTAGCGTCCTGTTCTCGCTTTCAGATCTGACCGTCTATTCTATTGTCTGTCCAATCTGGTCATCTCTCCTCACATATTTGAAATAGTACGAATGTTGCACACCACTGCTGCCTTCCCCACCATCTTCAGTGTCGGCTGTCTGAAAGGTCTGGTGTCTTTGAATATGTACTTCTGTTTGTCTCGAAATGTATGCCTGAAAAGGAGATGAACTGGAGTAAAATATCAGCCAGAATTATCCTGCTTCTCAATGATTTGTCTGTCCTTCTCTGTGTGTATGTAGGTGATGGTAGGATGTACACTGACTCTCATTTTCCCCATATCTACACCATGGGGAGTCATCCCTTCCTATTATTTGCCCACAGCAACAAGAGCTCATTATAGAAGCCAGACAGATGTGTTCTGGATTTGTGTCAAATGGGGTGTCTGTGTGTGTGTGTGTGTGTGTGTGTGTGTGTGTGTGTGTGTGTGTGTGTGTGTGTGTGTGTGTGTGTGTGTGTGTGTGTGTGTGAGAGAACAGCAGACTGTCTGGGTGAATTGTTATAGGTTGGACTATGTGTCAGACTGACTTTATGCATGCAAAGCATTTTTATTATATAGCTAAAAGTGAGATAACACAGTCTGAATGTGTGAAAAGCATGGAAATGTTACATCTTTGTTTGAAACGTTTCCTGAACATGCTAATTTTCCGTCTTTATTTTACAGTGTTGAATACAACTTCATTACTCACGTCGTTTCTTGTGGCACTTTAACAACTATCTTGTCTGCTAATCAGGAGAACTAATTACGGGTTCCCTTTTGTCTGTTTCAGAAATCGAGCGATAGCCGATTATCTACGTTCCAATGGATATGAAGAGGCATATTCCACTTTCAAGAAGGAGGCGGAATTAGATAATGTGAGTAGATTAAGGGTGGACACATACATCTGCACAGCCAATCACACCAATTTATACCAACAATATGCCTTGATTTCCACTTTATTTCTCATTTGAGTCAACATGTTCATGCATGTTCATGAGTGTGACCGGGAGCACCTGCACCCAATTATGTTGGTCTCTCTGATTAGGGGGTCTGTGCTACATGCTCCTGCTAACTAATCTTGAAAAAGCTTTTATCCACCTTTATATTACATTTACAATGCCAGTGTGAAATAAATAAGTGTGTGTGTGTGTATCCACTGAGTGTATTTTCCCTGTCCTTAATTTTTTTTGCATCACAGAAATGCAGCATCATTTGGTTTTGCCTTCAGCCCCACTTAAAAGTGCATCTGGGCCATATTCTACTCATTCCTTTCTTCTTTGTTTTGTCCCTAACCCTTTTATATTTTTAGGAGAAATAAAATGAATTAAGTCATATTGAATATTTGTCATCAGATCCTTTCCGGTCAAAAGTTGTCTAAAATCGATGATAAGCAGACACTGGTAGACCCAGGTCTACATTTGCCTGTTGTGGGCTTTCAATATGATGTTTAGCATCTAAAACACCTGCTTAGTCAAAGAAACTATATAGAAAGTAGTCTATGCTTCTAACTTATATATATAGTACTGCAGTACAGCGCAAAAACGTGAATGAAAATGTGCTGTTGTCTGCACTGACTACACCCCAGAAATCAAAACATAGATGTGGGAATGGGGAGTATTTTAGAATATTTTGTTCCTAAAATTTGATTCATGATCTCCTGCGCTCTTTGGCAAACTGTTAACTGGTACTCCTGTTTATCATGTTATTACCGAGTCATGTCAACTCCTTTTTATCTATGACTCGTTTTAATCACACACTTTTCTGCTCTGCCTCTCTGTAGCACCTTCTGTCACCTTGCCTTCATGTGACACCCCACCCCCTTATCCTCTGTCTTTATTCACTCTTTTTTTGGGGCATTTTCTCTGTGGCAACCCAGTGCAAGCAGGCTGAATAATAGATGAATGGCACGGAGGGATAGGTTCACCCTGTTGGGGATTACTGCTTAGCCAAATGTACATCTTGGCAGCAACATGCTAAATTAAGTGATTTTTACCACCAGTTTCCTGAGACCACATTGTTGGACATATATTACCAAGGTGGTTTGTATGTAAATGTAGTTAGATTTTGTTCAGAGTGAATTAAATGATCTTTTCCTTGGCCCTTTGTGGCTATTTGAGTAGTAGTTTTTAAGGTTAATTCTATGCAAGGCTCAGATTTTCATAGTGGGAATAATTAATAGAGGTCATGCTCTAGTTTTATATTGCCATGTGAAAGAAAATGTACATACCTGCATGCACTCTCCCTCTTTCGCTCTCTCTCTCACACACACACACACACACACACACACACACACACACACACACACACACACACACACTTATTAACCACTGCCAGTAGGCTGGCAGGCTGCAATGAAGTCTGGCACTTGCCATTTTGTGTGTGTCCATGTGTGATTCTGTCTCTTTGTGTGTGTTAGTGTAGTGGGCAGAGTGTCCAGGCAGATGGCAGATTAGATGATGGCAGACTTGTCCAAATTGGGTTCCCTACTCTCTCCCTCTGTTTTCTTTCTCCTGTATTTCTCCCCAGTGCCTCAGTTCATGTCTTTGTCTTTATAGTCTAAGGAATAACCTCTTGTCATTGAGAAGTGTTAAATATAGGCATCGGTGTTGCCTGCTTCTCTCCACACCTCCAGGATGTCTGCTTTTGTTTCCAGCTGAGGCTGAGGAGCTGGTTGTGAAATTGGAGCGAAACACTAATTTTCTCCATCACTGACACTCATGGATGTCTGTCAATGCAGGTTTTTGATGCTTTGATAGTTAGTAACAGCCTCAAGGCATGGATTATACACACAGTACCACCAAAGCTGTATTGTATATAAAATAAAACTACACAACTTGACTTTGTTGTATTTTAACTACATTTAAGGAAATGAAGACAGATGGACCATTTTAACATTTTTAAATTGTAATGTTTTTGAACATTAACAATTCCGTTGAAGCTACAGACCTTAAATAGAAATATGAAAAATGTATTTTGTTGAGAATATGAGAAAATAAATTGGCAAAATTGTGGAAGGCAATTAATAGTTTGAATAATTTTTCAAGCAGAAATTCCCAAAATTTCCCATTTCTAGCTTTTCACATGTGAAGTTTTACAGCGTTTCTATGTTTTCAATGATTAAATATCATGAGATTTGGGCAGCAGCTAAGACTTATTTTCATTATCGATAAATCTACCAATTTTTTTCTGAGTTGGTGGATTAATCTGTTGTTCTATAAAACATAAAAAAACAGCAATGAAATGCTCATGACAGTGTCCTGCGGGTGACGTCATCAAATGCCTTGTTTTGTCTTTGATAGGCAGTCCAAAACAAATCAATTTGCTATAATGTAAGACCAAGAATAGCAGCAAAACGTCCTATTTGAAAAGCTAGAACCAGCAAAGTTTCACTATTTTTGCTTGAAAATTGACTGAAATTATTCATCAATTATTGAAATACTCAGTAATTAAATTTTTAACTAATCGATTAATCAGTGTATTGTTGTAACTGTACATGTAATATTAGATTGTTGCAAGAAAAGGAATTTGATGGTGTCATCGTAGGGTCTGGAAAATGGTGGTGGGCATATTTTACTATTTTCTGACTTCTAGTTGACCAAACAGTTCATCATTGGTAATGAAAATAATCATAGTTGTGGCACAGGTATTATTATTAGTTTGTATGTGGTGACAGAGAAAACATACTGCACCTCCACATTGTTTCTTTCTTGGCAGTAAGAAACAGACTGTGTGTGCCATGAGGTCCATTATGTAAAAGGTAGCAGCCAGCTCCTGGTATTAACCTGCAGGTGAAATCAGGCTTCTGTCTGCCAGGACTGCCACAAGTTAACTTCCACCGCTGCCTCCAGTACCGTGTGTGTGGCTATAAGCTGTCTAAGTCTTCCTTGTCTGCAGGAGATTAGCTTGTGTGAGAAGGATTAGGACTAGCGTGTGTGTTCTTGTGTGTGCAGTGTGTGAGTGTGTGTCGTACAGTAGGTTGGCGGTGTCTGGCAGTCAGCGTTGGCCTTTGAGGGGTGTGTAAATAATTCCCTGTTCTTTCTTACTATAGCCAAAGACTTCAACATGCCACCCCAGCTGGCCCCCCTCCCACAGGCCTCACAGATTATGCTGAGCCCAAGACTTTGATTGGCTTTCTTCCCCTGTTTGCTGATATCCTTTTTTTACTACCTTCTCCACAGAATGAAGAATTGGATAAGAAGTATGCCGGCCTTTTGGAAAAAAAATGGACCTCAGTCATCAGATTACAAAAGAAGGTTTGTGGGGTTTTTCCTCCTCAAAGAATGCTTGTGGGGATTGTAGTCTTGTGAATGGTTCATGACATTACTGCTGAATCCACTGTTAACACTGAAAGAATTGTACCAAGGAAAGCATTAACCCAACTGTTAAATGTGAAATAATTTGTTTAAAGCACAGACCGAAACAGCAATCATAACACCATTAAAAGCCTATGTTTTATGAATCTATATATTTTCTCTATCTTGTACCTGTACTCTTCGAGCAGGTGATGGAACTTGAATCCAAACTGAATGAAGCTAAAGAGGAGATCACCTTGGGAGGGCCTGTCAGCCAGAAGCGAGACCCCAAAGAGTGGATCCCACGCCCACCAGAAAGGTATGCGCTGAGTGGCCACCGCAGTCCAGTCACCCGTGTCATCTTCCACCCAGTCTTCAGTGTCATGGTGTCGGCTTCTGAGGACGCCACAATAAAGGTCAGTGTTGCTGGATGGTGGAAATAGTGGTTTGACAATAGATTTGTTGCAGAGGTTGTGTTCTAATGGAGCTTCAAGCCTAATGTCCTTAATTTTTTTTGATTTTTTTTTTTTTTTATGGTGATTCAGCTGTTTTCAGGGTTTTCAAAAGATGCATAGAGCCGAGGGTCTGCAGGTTTCCCAACTAAAACCTGCAGCAGGTGATTTCACTGATTAGTTCATCCTGTTGGACTGAAGGTGTGCAAACAAGTAAAATTGTTGCTGAAGTCTGTAATTAGGCCTGCAGGCTTGTGTTCCTTCTTTGCATGTTCTGTGTATCTGTTTCCAGTTTAACATAACCTTGTACTGTATATGCTTTATGAACACTTCAAGCTTTCCAAAGCCACAGTAGAAACTGGAAACATTGATGATAACCTCACAAGTCTTATGATGAGCTTGAAATCTAAATCAATTTTCCAAAGATGAAAGCCAGCTGCCATGCTTATCTGACATCTTGGGTTTTAGGATATTATTCACTTAGGACATGTAATTGCTCAAATTAAACAATATCATAATATACAGATTAAATTGGTTTTGACAGTGATTAGAGAATAAGGATAAGATTTTGTGCTAGACTTCTGGTTGCCATAGTAAAAACTGAATTATAAATGCAAAATTTCATGTGACGTGTCAGCAAATACATTGTCACATGACACTTTCACTTTGTTCAGTTTTGGTGTACAACATTTAGTCACACATGACGAGCTGTTGTACAGTGCACACATTTAGTGTTAACATCCTGTTTTTAGAAAAAAAAAATCTAATTTAACCTACTATTGACTGAGCAATGGCCAATTTTTCCAAATGTTCAGCTCAGAAATATACAAATATAATATTGCATTTACAGTATGATTTCAAAGGCAAAAAAACTTGATAAAGATTTATCAGCTGTCTTGACTTTGGAGGAGACAGACTGCAGTGTCCTTTGTTTGCTGTTGCAGCCCCTCCTCACATTACATAGGATTCAGGTTTAAAATAAACAGAGTGGTCTTTTTTAATTTAGTGCCAGCTTGGTGGCAGCTTGTGCTCACTCTGTTGAATGCCCCTCCTCTCTTGTCCCCCTCTCCGTACATTATACCTCACTCTTCAGTGTTACCCTCTCTTCTCCAATTCTTCTTCCTAGACATACCCTGGATTAAGCAAGTTCTCATTCTCTCTCTCTCTCTCTCGTTCTGTCTCTCTCTCTCTCTCTCTCTCTCTCTCTCTCTCTCTCTCTCTCTCTCCCTCTCCCTCCCTCTCGTTCTGTCTCTCTTTCTCTCCCTCTCGTTCTGTCTCTCTCTCGCTCTCTCTCTCTTTCTGTCTCTCTCTCTCTCTGCCTCTCTCTCTGCGCCGCTGTCTCTGTCATCTATGTATCCCTAGATTCCATATATGAACTCCATGGTGTGTCCCTGGGCTATTTTTGCAGCAGTGTCTTTCCCTTGCCTCACTGCACAATGCCAATACTCTGCTGAGCTGTTTGTTCTGTATATTTTATTCATGAGACAATAAGAGACCCATGTACATCTCCTCCTCAGCTACGCCCACACAGCAGGGACCCCTCTCTACGTTTTGGCATCTTCCTTTTCCAATCTCACCCCTCCCTCCCTTCCTCCTTCAGCACCCCACCCCCCAGCACCTTGCCTCATTTATCTTCCACCTAAAGCTTCAGCTGCCCCACCATGACTATCCACCATCAGAGCCATCCATCCCTCAGGAGGAGGCAGGCCTGGGCCCATATCTAAAATTCAGCCCTGCTTTCTTGCACCTCTTTCCTGGCTGGCTCGTCTCTCTGTTGCCTGGCCTAACTCCCCCTGTGTCCTACATTTCCCTCTCCCGAGCTCTGTTAAATTTTTAACTGGGGAGTAGACCTTGTGTTCTCTACACTTAGAAGCACAGACTGAGAAACAGCTTTCTCATGCCAGTGTCCAATAATCAGACTGAAGGGCCATTGCATTTCATGTCACTCAGTCAGCCTGACTTGGTTCATATTAGCAGATTTTCTTGTTGAGGAGACATGTTTTGTTTTGTTTACCCAAACCAGTCAGAGGCAGTTGATATATTTATCCCACCACTGTAATGTTGAACGAAAAAGAAGCTATGGTAGTGAACAATTTAGAGCTAAAACAGTTACGTGACTAGTCAATCAACTTAAGATTAATCCATTATAAATATCTATAAAATATTGTTATAATTAGAAACTGCAACGATTAATTGATTAATCAATTAGTTGATCAAAAGAAAATTCACTATTTTGACAGTAAATTCATCATTTTAGTAATTTTCTGAGCAAAAATGCCGAACATTTTCTGGTTCCAGCTTCTCAAATGTAACTACTTTTCTTTGTCATAACAGTAAATTGAATATCTTTGGGTTTTGGAGTGTTTGTTGGACAAACAAGCTTATTAAAGACATCACTTTGGGCTCTGATAAATTATGACTGCTATTTTTTACTATTTTTAATGAACAATTAATTGAGAAAATAATTGATACAGTAAATATGTAGCTGGTGCCAGCTGCTGGTTATCTCAGCATAACAGGGATTAACATCTGTCATAATGTAATAGTCTTCACACCAACACCTCTAAAGCTCACTAATTAATATGTTGTGTGTCATTTGTTTAATCTGTACAAAAAGTGAAATGTAAAAGCTAGAATTCAATTTTATACATGGTTACTTAAAACAACTTGTACACCTGTGACAGTCTCATCCACACTTGATACTATTTTTGTGGCAATTTGTTGTCGCTCATGGATGTATGAAGCTGATTGGTCCATTGTTTCTCCAGCCTCTGGAAACTGCCATCAGTGGGCACAATATTAGACCTGTATAAATTGGACAACCAGAAGCAGGAAACCAGGCTAATGTCTTATTCAGTGAATTTCTCATCTCATTTTTGACATTTCTCTTATTACTCATGCCTCTGTTTGTGTTTTCCCTAACCTTGTTAGTTTTGCCATTCTCTGGCCCTCACACTCCCCCTCTGTTCCATTGTTGTCTCTCCTCTGCTAACGTGGCAGATTTTTGCGCAGCAAGATGTTACCTTCAGCTCAGCTCTAACCTCTCACAGTATCAACAGGTCTTGAGCGCAGAGCTGTGCTCAGTCAAACATGCCAACCAGAGGATAGGTTAATTTAAACAAGGCAATGGAGCTTGGGCATCAGCTTACCCATTGCTTACTTCATAAATAGGACATACAAACAAAGTCTTTGTATTACTTTTGGCCTTTGAATTACAAAAATCCAAGGCATTTTCTCTGAAGGAATGAAAACTATTAATCATGATATCGTGAAGTTTTTTGGTAGCTGCTTTAATAATGCCCTGGATAAGTTCCAGTGAGAATCATCATTCTTTTAGCATTGAGTTACAGGTTGCTTATGGATTATGTGTGGTTTAAATGCTGCTGAATACTGTTAATATGCGTGTGAACTGTTGGACCAGGTGTACCTTCAAACACATTAACTGCATTGATCTTCTACTGTATAAATCTCCCTGTGCACATTGTACCTCAGGGCCATCTGCACTGTCTGTGGCTGCCTTTGGAGGGGGGGGCACAGAAGGACTAGGGGGAGGAGAGGGTGGGGTTCTCTTGTCACTGTCTGCTCAAAATCCCCCACCCCAAGAGAGGAACCAAGGAGGGTTTATCCCTCCGTGACAAACCGTCTGTCTGCTCAAAAGCCAGAAACGCAACAGCCTTCTCAGGCTAGAAAATCAGGCTTACTACTGTTCACTCCATATTCTGTCTCTTCTCCAACTGGCTCTGCGTACTTAGCACATAAACTGTCTGTTGGCTTTTATCAGGTCTAGCTGTAACCCTAATCGGCATCTTGGCACATGCATCCCTGCCATTAGCAACAGTAATGCATCATGAATTCTGTAATTCAATATACAAAGAGTGTATGAGGCAAGTGTGAGGTCTTTAAACAAATATGATGGCAGTGTGGTTTTCTGTAATAATTCTGCCATTAGTGTTAAGACTGAAATGTGACATCCCTGGTCAGTTTCCTTCTGTCTACACAGCTTGTTTTGGCTTCTGGGCTGCTCAGCTGAGACATGAAATGACTTGGAGCCACTGATGATGTCACATTTCGGGGCAGCATACTCATGTTTCTCAGTAATATACAGGCTATGGTTAGGTTTGTCTGTCGGTAACTTGTATGAATATGCTCTCTTCTCCAGGTGTGGGACTATGAAACGGGAGACTTTGAGCGCACACTGAAAGGCCACACAGATTCCGTGCAGGACATCTCTTTTGACTTGACCGGCAAACTGCTAGCATCCTGCTCTGCAGACATGACTATCAAGCTGTGGGACTTCCAAGGCTTTGAGTGCATCAGGACCATGCATGGTAAGAAGATAAAACGGTGTATTTCTTTTCTGCTGGTGGTGGATTTGTGTGATCTTTTTTTTTTTTTTTTTTTTTTTTCGGCAGAAATTTGCAGACATGCATCACATCTGCTGCCATTTATTGTCATCTTTGTGAACATGCTCTGTTATGGTTTCCACATCATATCTGTATAAAGGTAGCTTGTGACTGTATGCAGGGCTCAGGTGGTGCAGATGCTATTCGTTATCACATTTGATGCTGCTGATGAGCCTCAATCTGCTCCAGTTCACTGCGCCCTATGCTGAGATTCACAACCAGCTCTGACAAATGGACTGTTTAAGCCATCTTGTGTCTCTTTGTACCCACATCACCTCCCACTACAGTGAACTCTTACAGGCGCTTTGATCCATCTCTTATTAAAATGTAATCATTTACCATCATTTAAATGGTAAATAATTGGTTCAGGTTTTTAATAAGCCTATCTATATTCTTTTTCTTATCTGAGAATCTGCTCCACCATTGGTCATGTCATCACTGAAGCAGTCCTTTGGCATACACCCCTTTCTTTTACACCGTAATTGCCAAGTAAATGATGGCATCATAGTCTATGTGTGCCCTCAGGCCCTACTGATGTCAGGGACCACCATATGAATAATTTTGATTTCCTTCTTGGAATAGAGAGAAGGACCCCCACCAACCAGCCAGCAGCAGAGCAAACAATACGAAGCTTTAGCATTTCACATTTAGTTCTGATCACAAGTGTGCTAGAAGTACCCATTAATGTCTGACTGTGAAGCAGACATGAATGAAAATGAATATTGATTAATTAAATAAGCCTAGCCAGTATGCTGGAGTTGTAAATCTTGCATTTTGTGCAAGTGAGCAACAGATTTCACTGGTTGCCAATCTTTTTGTTGTAAATAAGGATGTGAACTGCTGGCATGCTTCTTCAAACAGACGAGCGGCGTTCACACTGCAGAAAGACATCTAAATGAAGAGATCACTGTCTAAAATAAAACCTTCTATTAAACTGAGCCTGCTGTCTTGATTTGTTCCCCACCATTTCCTCTCCATCCCTCTTTCTACTCCCCATCTCCATTCACTTTTAATTCATCTACTCAACCTTTTCTCCTTGTTTTCATCCACTCCGCCTTTTTTCACTTCAAAAAAAAGAAAAACCAACTGGCCCAACTGGTGAAGTAGATTAGTGCCGATTTGGACAGCAGTTTAATTATCCTCTTCAGCACCAGATAGCACTTTTCTGTGTGGCTGCCACCCATTATTATAGCCTGATGGCATTTGTATTCACACACACACACACACACACACACACACACACACACACACACACACACACACACACTCTTAAGCTGGCCTTTTAGAGTATACTTACTGTTGTCTTCATCTGTGAGCAGCTTAAATATGGCCTAGCATCTAGGTAATTAGGCATCTCTTATTCTCTGTGGAACAAAGTAAGCCCCAGCAAATTGGCTGCCTCGCTTGTCATTTAATTGGTTAATTATGACCAAACCCATCATTTTTTGGTGCTGTTGATGGATGAAGATGTGTAAAACATTGTTGCTGAATTTTGTATATGTTTCCTCTGGTAAATGTCAAGAAGGAAAGATTAAAGGGATCATGTGTTGCCATCTGAAGTGATAAAATTACATTTTACACTTGATTAAAAGATTTAAAATGTTGCGTTGGGTTGCGCTGTTCAGAAAGCTTTTATGATGCTCTCTGGCTGTTACTGAGATCTTATTTTTGTCTTTTATATTTTTCAGGACATGACCACAATGTTTCGTCTGTAGCCATCATGCCTAATGGAGATCACATCGTTTCTGCCTCAAGGGACAAAACCATAAAAATGTGGGAGGTGGCAACTGGGTACGCAGAATCCAAAAACACCCTCAAACTATCCTTAAAACTGCTATGTTTTTTTGTGTTTTTTTTAAAAGGATGATATTGTGTTTCATGAATCACATCTGCTCTGACAACTTGATAACTTCTTTATTGTTATTTGTCTGTTAGCTACTGTGTGAAGACCTTCACAGGCCACAGGGAGTGGGTTCGTATGGTGCGGCCCAACCAGGACGGCACACTGATTGCCAGTTGTTCCAACGACCAAACGGTGCGCGTGTGGGTCGTGGCCACCAAAGAGTGCAAGGCTGAACTGCGGGAGCATGAACATGTGGTAGAGTGCATCACCTGGGCACCAGAGAGCGCCTACCCCACTATCCTAGATGCCACAGGGTCCGAGGTAAAAAACTGTTCAGACCTTTTTCGCATTTCTCCAAAACGTTTTCAGACATGGGTGGTTTTAGTTAGACTGTAGTATCAATGAGTGTGTTTTCCCCTCTTTCCTAATTGGACCAGTAGCTCAGAGGTCAAGCACAGCAGAGCAGATAATGGACCATTATGAGCTCAGTTACAGTGTTGTAGTACCTGACTGTCACCGTTCAGAAATTGGTGTAACTAGAAACATATTTTCGTCTCTCAGGCCCAAATGAGTCAATAACTGACTAGTGAACAAGAAGAGCAATCAGGCAGTTGTAATTGTACAACCACGTGGTGCCAGTGATGATAGAGTTCATGTGCATCCTGGAGTGAAACCAGACCTCACAGGTAATCCTGTGTACCAAGGCAATATCAAGGAAAGATTGATTTCAACAACTCTAATCCACAAAGATTAGGTTTCAGACAAACTTTCATTCCCAGTCGGATCTTCATCAGGTCAAAATGCTTAAAAATGGACACAATATCCATATTTATGATGGGCTCTATGTTGACAGGTGTGATTAACCATCCAACTCGCCCAGGGTGATAAACATCTCAAAGCAATTAACATTTCAGGAAGGTACATGTCAAAGGGTAGGAATACAAAGGCAATAAACCAAATTATCAACCATACATCAAAAGACATCAACAAAATATAAAAAAATAGACTCATAAGCTTGAAAACTAGGATCTTTAAAATGGATATATAACCCAATAAAGCCAGGTCTGAGGCAGTGTGCCGGCCTTACATCTCTTCAGTTATGTAACTGAAGAGGCAAACAAAGTTTGTGATTTGATGGGGTCACTCAGTGATAAACAGTGGATTTCTCATACTATCAGATGATGCAGAATGTGTTCCCTCTCTACATGCATAGCAATGTCACTGGGTCTCAGACACTGCTCAGACTGATGGCCATGTGAACAGACTGAAATGAAGATCGAAATGAAGTGTTTGTGCGTGCATACACAGACAGAATATCAGCATGGCCCAGAGTCAGCCCACACACCCTCCTCATGCCTTGTGATCTCAAGTGTGTCCAATTGTAGCCTTGTCAGATTAAATCAATATTTTCCCTCGCAGCAGTTGTCCCAGTCTAACCTGTGTGTGATGAATAACAGTGTTCACTTGCACAGTAGCTGATTTTTGGTGTTGGTTGTTTTGTAGCTTATGTTGTCTTAGCTGATGTAAAGAAGTTGCTTATCACTGATGGAGTTGTTGAATTGGGACAGACCTGAACTCATAGAGACTGTTGTCTCACAGATGTTTGCACATGTGTTCTCAAACTAGTTGTCAGCAATCTAAAACAGTCACCTTAAGGTATTTTATGTGGCACAGACTGCTGCTCTGTATGTTCGGGTACCGTGATGATCTTATTTCTTTGATCTTTTACTCTAAAACATTTAAACAAACCAGGCCAGTGAGACAAGGCTCCTTTACATTTCTTCCAGTTATTGCTTAGATGCACCTGTAGGACTGTTTGCACACAATCTCAACAAATACAGTTAAAACTATTAGGCATGTAATGACTGAGTCCAGTGTGCCAGACATAGCTTTTAAACATCTGTTATTGTGTTAATAATACTCGTGGTTATTGTATGAGTATGAGTTTATTTAAGCAAATCTATCTTCTCCATTGTGACAGACAACAAAGGGATTTAAAGTGTGCTGTATTTAATTGATTTGTCTCTGTAAAGTGTCTTTGAGTGCCATTTAAACATGCAGTTTACATAAAATGTATTGTTGTTATTATGTATGTATTATGTATTTTAATTTATGTACCATTTATATTACCTTAAAGAAGTATATATTTTCAAAAATATTTTGTAGCATTTGGTCTTTGTTATTACTTTAGAAATAGGTTCACAATTTTGAGACTCAATGTTTTTGACAAAAAAGGGCTTATGAGCAGGTTAAATGTGGAGTATTGTCTGTGTTCTGTATTTGACCATAAAATGTTTTCTTCAAAATTAGAATTACATTTTCTTCGATCCTTGTGCCTAAACAGACCAAGAAGAGTGGTAAGCCAGGCCCCTTCCTGCTGTCTGGCTCCAGAGACAAAACCATCAAGATGTGGGATGTCAGCATTGGAATGTGCCTTATGACACTGGTGAGGACCATCTTAAGCTAATAGCCTTTTTATTTTTATATATATATTTAAATATCTAGACTGAAAACATTTTGCTTCATGAGTGAGATGAATTGGGTTGCAACTGGTGTCTTGTCTCTGTCTGTCTGTAAAACAGGTTGGCCACGACAACTGGGTGCGTGGAATCCTCTTCCACCCTGGAGGCAAGTTCATTGTGACCTGTGCAGATGACAAGACCTTAAGGATCTGGGACTACAAGAACAAGCGCTGCATGAAAACCCTGTGTGCCCACGAACACTTTGTTACCTCTCTGGGTATGTAGCCACTCGCCCTCACAGAAAAAAAGCTTCATCCTTGTTATTGTTTGACCAGTTGGTCTCTTGAGGTGCAGCAGGAAACCTCTACCCTCATTGGATAGTGGAGCTGGGCTCACAAATATCTGTTTTAGAGAAAGGTTGGATAATTGTAAAGAAGCCCAGCTTCTCCACCGGCAGTGTGTTGAGCGCCTTAGGGTTACTGGCAACTGGGGTTTAAGAGGTAGACAAGCGCTCCAGGATTTTCCCCTCCTCCCCCTCCTCGTATCTGCGGCTTTTCAGCAGATCAAGGCTCGAGAACTCTCTTGAGAAGCTCTTCAGCCAACTTTTCCTTGGCAAGCCGTTTGAAACCCAGTCCTCTTAAATCCTGCCTCAGCCAAAGAGGATATTGCTGTGAGCTATTGATGTGATGAATGTTGGAGCGGTGTGGAAAACACAAAGCACCTTTGTTTGGTGGAGAAAAAAAAAACAAAGTGGCCCTGCGGTTTTTTTTTTGTTTGTTTTTTTTTGTTGTTTTTGTTTTTTTCCAAAAAGTATTGTCCTATATGTCCGTATAATACAACATCTGTGTGTGCACTCTGCCTTTTTTAAATAACCTGCTAATCAGACTGATTTTCCTTTTTTAGGAGATGAAAAAGCATTTTTCCTTATATCAGTAGCAAGATGTCTGAATACCGCCGACATCGTTTTCAGTTGACCCAGAAGGTGCAACAGATGTAGCTATTGTTTTTTTATGACTGTCAGAGAAACATGCATGTTAACAAGATGTAAAATGTAGGTGGGTGACTAAATTAAAGAAGAGGTGGAAGACAGAAGAGGGATGATGGGCATCAAAGGCTCTCGGCTGGACTTGAACCAGTGATGCTACAATGACATTGTCAGCATTTTGGCCAAAAGGACGTCCCCAATAACAAACTCATCCATGCTTCTTGCTGTTTTTCTGCCAATATTTATAGCTATTTTTCTGGCTCTGGCACCAGACCTGTTTGAATCACTGTTCAGAGGTCTGGAAGGAGGACACTTCAAAATGCTTGAAATCATAACTTGATAAGTGGTTTGTTTTGTTTTGTATTGTTTTGGTTGGCCCACCCAACTATAGTATTGGCTGGTCACAAATGTTTTGACCAATTTTTTCTCAGTTGCATGGGGTCATGAATTTAGTTTGAATTAACCCAGTTTGCTCCAAATTACCATGAACAGTGCATGTCTAAATCTGCTCATTAATCCAAACACAGTCACTGTGTGTACGGCAGTTTGTGCTTTGTTTTGATGATCTTTTCGTTTCTTCTGCAGATTTCCACAAGGCCGCTCCCTACGTTGTCACTGGGAGTGTAGATCAAACAGTAAAAGTGTGGGAGTGCCGCTGATCTGGACCTTGGAGGATTGGACCACAACCCCAATTACCCAGGCGCTCCTCTGGATCCACCTCCCCTCCTGCCATCCCACCTCCCCTTTAATCCCCCCTCCCCCTTAACATAAAACCTTACCCGCACATTTTCATCTCCTCCGGCTGCACTTACCACCATGGTTATTTACCCATCGCGCTCTCTGGTCCAATAACTTTTGTCCTTCTATGTAAATTATTCCTGGATGTAGATCGAGCTATTAAATGTTACACAAAAAAGTATTCTTGCATGGTAATCCAAAATTGTATACTGTAAATTTACATAACGTTGTCTAGAAGTACCATAGGTTTAACACGGGGCTGGCCGTCTGTCACGCAGCCTTACCGACCAACCGAAGGCAGATGTTTTTGACTGGGTGTAAAATGTAGGGCACTAAAAACCAATAATTTAAGAAATGACAGTGTCTTTATGTGTAAGATTTATTTTTGTCTATTTTTTTATTTAGGATTTTTTTTCTGTTATTTCTCTCCTTCACTGTCGTAGTCTGTTGGTGCCTAGCTTGGTGAAACTTTTGAGAGATAAGGCAGGAAAAGCATATATGACGTGATAAGATACGATTGTCTGTGGGGCTTTGTTATTGAAATAATCTGTAGCTTTATAACGTCACTTCTCAAGTGTGCATACCATTTCTCTTCATGTGGAACTAGGTAATATTTTAATGGCTGTATATACGAATGTTTCAAACTGTTGTCCTTGGACCTTGGGGGCTTAAAAACAGCTTTGTACTCTTGTCATGGTGGCACATGAACCACTGATAGGCTTTAGATAAATTATCGCATTTAATGAATCTGCAGCAAATAATAAAAAGTTGTAATGTTTAAAAGTGGCTTTGTGAATAACCAAGCCAAGTTTTTCACAAGAAGCCCAATCGAGCGAGTGAGTTTGTTCGGCTTACACTGTCAGTGAGTGCCGTGGGTCACAGCATCACCTGAACAGAGTTCAAGGATTACACCTGTTAAATCTCTAGCACTTGATAAAGACCTTGGGTGTGTCTCCCTTTACGACAATTTTCTGTGACCTGGCATGTCATACTTTTACAGACTAAACCCTCTGTCCACTTCTAGTCCCCCTGACCAGTCAGTCCCGGCAGAGAGTGGTGTACCTAGGAACTATGTAGTCAGAGGGTGCTCAGTTGACCCATGGAGCCTCTGAAAGCTACAAACAGAAGCCAGTAGTCTGAAATAAACCTGCAAAACAGAAAACATAAAGGCATGACAAGGAGTCAAAGTCGGCCCCCTGGGTTTGATATCTGGGATGTGCAAAGATCTCTAATTTCTGAGGGGTGAAATATATGTTCGGCATAATAAAAATGGTTTTGAGTATATAAAAAAAAAAAAAAAAAAAAAAAATCAGTTTTCTGTGAAAATATGAAATGTAAATTCAGCTTGTTATTGCTTGATTTGGCAATTTTGTATTATCGCACTAAAGGATGAACTGGACAGGAATTTAGGATTAGTGAGGAAACGCTAGCAGCAGACATGTTAAATGTTTTGTCTGCAGAGGGGTCTGATGCTGAGTTTGGGTTTTGTTGTGAAGAACTCGCTGTAAAAGAGGTGGTGCAGCTCCTGGATCAGATAATGGAGGACAATGCTAAAGCCTGAGCAGCGACAATATCTGCAGACAAACCCCACAGACCCATCTCACACATATGCAAACGTCATCTGAGTGGCTTTCCTCAACTGTTCAGCTTTTGATCTTTGTGGAGCTGTAACTGTAAAACAGGGCGATTTTTGGGAAAGACTGGAAGAAAACTGTAAACCAGTCCATGCTGTAGAAACAACCATTCCACTCCCCTTGGAGGACAAAAATGGACCATCTTGCTTCTAACTGTAGCTGGCAAGGTGATTCATTAATTTTGCACATCCCTGTTTTCACTAAATCTTTGGTCCTTTAATGATGATCAAAGACGACATTAAAATTTAATGATGTTGATAAATGCATAAACCTATAATTTCTGATTAGCCTTTTCATTCCAATGCAGTTCTTGGCTAATAAAGAATTCCACTGCTTAACTGATGATCTTATCTTAGCTTCTTTGCCAAGTTTTCCTCTTCCTGTGTGTACTGGATGTGGTGATCTGCTGCTCAAGCTCTTGCTAGTGGCTACTGTGAGCCTAATGTGACCTGTTGACGTAGCACTGCTGCATGTAAACCTGCACCAGAGGCAGAGCTGTCAGAACAGTCATCTTTTACAAGCTTAAATACTGGAGCCCTCTCATCAGAGACCAATTGGATTGAATAATGAGGAGAGAAACTGTGTATTTAAAGTAGTTTGACATTTTGGGAAATATGCTTATTTGCTCTTTTTGCAGAGAACTGGATGAGAATCAAATACCACACATTTGTACTGTAAATATGAAGCTACAGCTAAAACCACAATTAAACTTGTCTTGGGGTGGGGGTTATGTGCTGGACTATTTCTTGAGTGAAACCAATAACTGGCTGGGGTCTCCATTGGTTGCTTAGTAACAAAAGTGCAATTACAATATTTCTGAAGACACTCTGTTTTTTTGTGTAATGTCATAGTTCAGCAGAAAACATTCTAAAGTGTTGGTAGTAAACATGGCTGATTAAATAAAATCTGTATTTGTGAATTAAGATTTTCAAAGTAAGCTAACAATTGCAAATTATCGTCTGAGTTTTTCAATTCAAATATACTATGCTAGACATTATACACAACAGACAGCTTCTCATTGTGCTTGAAATGTTGAAAATGCAGGAAATTATTTTTTTTTTTACATAAGTACAGTTGATAAACCAGAAGTTCTTCACACAGACCGCTTTCATTGGGGAAACTGCATTCACATGTCGGCAAAATGGGCAGAACGTGAAAAGCAGACGTTTTTCCGACTTGGCAGCGTTAGTTTATAACTCCAAGGTATGAGTATTTAATCCCAGTGCTAACCTTGTAGACCCACAACCCTAACTGCCTAACTCTAGATGTTATGTTGTATCACTTTTTCTTTTTTTTTTAGCAATTTGTTATCAAGTCAAAACCTATAAAATTAGATGACGGGATAGTATTGACCAGTGGTGGTGCATTTGCAACCATTCTGACAAGTTTGTTGACATGTCTAGTTCTTTTCTTCAAGTGGGAGATATTGTTATAAGGTTGTTGTTTTTTCACCATCTAAACAATATGACGTGAACGCGGTATGTGTTTCGGTACTTTGTTGGAGTCCCTCTCTTTTGCCTGGCAACTGCCCTCACCTGTTAGAGCCGGCTGGTTGTTTCCCTCTGCTTACAGTGTTTAGCAAACATGAGAGTGGTATCCCTTTACTCATGTAACTCTCTGCAAGAAAATGGATGGTCTTATTTCTCAAAATGTCAAACGGTCCCTCTTACATCACTGTGTCCATGGTTAAGTTCAGGCAGCTCTGTTAACTGGTTGTAGAAAGGCTGGTTTTGTTGTGTGTGATGCTATTTGAAGGAGGTTTACTGCCTCCGTCTTCTGTAAATGCAATGGGATTGTGGCAGACTAGGATGTTCCAAAGGAGAAACCCTCTCTTTCAGGAAATATTACTGATGTTTCTCTTTGGTGTGTGCCCCCCTCCCCCTCCTTACAAAGGTTTTATTTTTTTTTCTACAAGCTGTTTTCTCTTGGGTGAAGAATCAGCAAATTTTGTAGTACTATTTGGCATGGCTAATGAAGATGCCAATGTGTTAAATGTTCTAGCTGAAGCCAAAAATTGAGACATTTGTCAGTACAATCTGGTTTATCTTGACAAAACAGCCTCCTTTTGTTGGTCAAACACTGTGTGACCAACTTTTGAAAAACAATGCTCGTCTCCTCAGGATCACGCTATGACATGCCGGACCATAAAATGTAAATTAAAAACTTCTTCCCTTCCTTGGTTTTACTCGTGGAAGGTGGTTAATCAAAGGTCAGGACGATGTGTGTTCTGTTTCTTTTGTAAGAAAAGGTACATAAAAGCTACAACACAGCTGGTGTTGTATGCAGGTATGCGCCCTGTTGAAGAAAATCCCCTTTTGCCATTCGCAGGTCCCAAGCAATCCCTGTGCTTCTCTGGTCTGGTGTGTGAAGGGACTGGCAGACAGGTTTTGACTGTCTGAAGGTCATTTCCTCCAGCCTCAAGTCCACCTGTTCTCTGTAACCTGCCTGTGAACCACATCTGAGGGCTTCAGACTGCACAACAAGCTCCAACAGGAGAGCTCATGATGTTTTCGCCACTATGGTCTCACTCTTCACTCAGCAAACTGTTAACAATATACCTGGATGTCATTATTGTTTGCAATATAATAAAAGAAGTAAAATCTGCATTTGTGTTTCCTGCTCATTTGTTTTGAGCTGTCATACTGAGTGTCAGTGTATTTTAAACAATAGTAAATTTGGACAAACGTGACTTAAATTAAAATTTTGCACTTGTTACATTTCATTTGAATAAGAGACAGATGCTCATAGATACAATTATTCCCAGTAAACCCATAACATCTATAGTAAATTATTAAATAAATGATAAACAGTTGGCAGTCATAGCCAGAAGCTGTTTTTGTTTTAAACTAATAATTTTAGTGTATTTTCCCTCCCAAACATCATTTACCAAAACATTAAAATTAACAAAAAATGTGGCAGATTAACTTTCAAATCTGCAATTGTAAAGTTTATTATGTCCTGTGTGTGAGTTAGGGAAAATGTAAAGTCTTGAATGGAAATAATAAGTGTTTTTTTTATTGACATTTGTGAATAAACAATTTTACTATAAAGTATAGAAATTTAATAAAATAATGTTTTCTATAGAGATGAGTTAGTGAGCAGCTTAATGTTTTTTAATCAACACATACAGTTGTAAAACCGATGGGAACCATTTTTTATGACGTTATGACGCACAACGTAGAGTGGTGACGTCGAATGCATCCAGGAAGAGAGTTGCAGAAATTGGAAAACGTTTGGACAACGTGAGTTGTGTGTGATGTTTCTACACTGTTGCTTAGTCTAAAAAGTCAACGCTAGTCGTAAGATACGATCACGACAGGGAAAAGCTACTGTAAAGGTAAGCTGGGAGTAATATTGGCTATGTATTACCTTCCAGAGTTAGCTGACTGCACCTAATCAGCTCCGTGAATCCGTAGTTTTTACTCAAGTTTGAGAAATGAATAAATATTTGTTCCTTTGTTAGTTTATTGAGTCAATTTTTCAACAAACCGGTATTTTTTAAAGTCTGTGTGTCTGCTGTCGCTCCAAACCCACACTTAAATAATATCCGTGGTTTTTATGGCTGTCCTGAAATCAGAGCTCTGAACATGGCTTTGAACAAATCCATGCATCCTCGGAACCGCTACAAAGACAGACCACCTGACTTCGCCTACCTGGCCTCCAAGTATCCAGACTTCCAGCAGCACGTGCACACCAGCCTAACAGGACGACCTGTGTAAGTACCTGAGACTGTGTGCTTAGAATTTCTACTTAGAAAGAATGATGATGCACCTCACATATTAAACTGTAGACAAAGTTCCTGGAAACTAAAAACGCCATTATGACCCCAGATATCCCCCAACGTGGGTGGACCAGGAATTAGCTTCAGATGGTTTATTGCCTAGGTTAATTTCTCTTTTTTTAATTTCTCCATTATGCCATAGTTGTGTGTGTGTGTGTGTGTGTGTGTGTGTGTGTGTGTGTGTGTGTGTGTGTGTGTGTGTGTGTGTGCGTGTGCGTGTGCGTGTGCGCGCGCATGTTTGCATTTAACATTTTTCTCAATTACCCTAAAATTCAAGTTTATAATGAATAATTGGAGCATACATTAGCTTACAGGAATCTGTCATATCTCTACCATGTCATGTTATGTGAATACCACATTAACACCACATGGCCATCTTCACCAATGCTTATGTGCCTTAACTGGAGAAAATTCCTGCAGCCAGGTTGTAAAATCTGGTGGAAATCCTGAAATCAGAAGAGTTGAGGCTTAAAGCAACATTAATTTCCACTTTAGAATTAAATGTTCAGGTGTCCACATACTTCTGGCCATATGCTGTACTTATTTTAGGTGTATACACAAACACCTTTTCACCAATCTGCCAGCCTGACTCAGTGAAGCCCTGAGGATCCCAATCAGCGCTGCTCATGTCCCAGCTGACTCGATCTGATCTTTACTGCTCATTCAGCTTCTGGCAAAAGCAGGAAGAGAAACACAGGACAAACCATCAATGGACCCAATATCAAGAGTTTTTTTCTTTTCACTCCATCCCGTTTGCTGCTCTCCTCTTCATTAGAAAGACTTAACAAAATATGTATTAGTGAAAGATTATATTGAACCCCCAATTTTAAAAATAGGTTAGTGTGTCAATCAAAACTCACCAGTAAGCTTCTAGTTTCACCTCGCACTCAGACAGGACACGAATTAAATGAATGTAACACTGTGTGTGTGTATGTGCCCTTCACAGTGAGATGCTGCTCAGAAGTCATGATGTGAAAAAATCCAGGCAGGAGAACAAAGGGAAAAAAATGTCTGGTGGTATTAGTGGTGTTGATGTCAAACAGTGTGAGCTCATGATTGCTGCTGTTGTGGGAAAGAAACATGAACTAGAGCAGGACTACATGCTTTTTTTTTTTGTTGTTGCTATGTTTGGGCTTGTGCGGCACTGGGAGCTATGGTTTGTGTAGTTGGTGAACCACCTCTCCCTGACATGCACTTGAATCTAGGTGGATTTTTGACTAATAAAACCCTCATAATGGACAAATGTAGATGAGTGGCAGGAGATGAGATAGAGGAAGATATTTAAACTGAGCTTCAATAATTAGTAGATTGAAAGAAAATTCTCACAAATGAGAAGTTCTCATATGTTACATCATATTATGCTCTAGCATAATGTAATGGACATTTTACTCTGTTTTCTCATGTTTTATAAACCAAATGATTAATTGATAGTGTTGTATGCAGATGAATTGATAATGAAAATCATTGTTTGTTGCAGCCCTATATTTAAACCTGAGACAACACAGCTCTCGAATGGCTGGATGAAGGTGTTTTAAATTTCATCAAAATGTCATAGTTTATTGACTTCCTTCTTTGCATACTTTATAATGTGATAGACATTTTGACAGTGTTATAGCAGGTAAAGGTACCATTATATGAGACTATAATAGTTGTATTTAGGTGTACCTGATAAACTGCCAGATGAGTATTTCTAATATATGAAACCAAATCATGAAGTTTGAAGTTGGTTAGATGAGTGGTTGTTGAGAAAAGCAAAGTACAGAGATTGTTCCATTTATAGTTAAATAGTGTCACTTCAGCAGTTTAAAACTATACAACAGTAATGCTCACCTTTTTAGAATGACTCCATAATGTGTCACTGCCATATCAATTTGATTTCCACTTCTTTAGTTGACAGACATTGCTGTGTGGGTAGCATGTCCATACCTGTCCATGATTTTATTTGTGTTGTCCTTAATGTTCTTTCACCCACTTTGGTCTGTAGTTGAACCTGAAATAAAAGTGCACAATGCCATGCTCTGTGCTAATAGACACCGGCCAAGTGTTTCAGAAGAGTAGTTGTGTTTGTCCTCAATTTCATTTTAAATGCATAAATATTGTTTACATGAAATGGCTTAGAGTAAAACATAATTAATTACCTCTGCCAGGGAGGTTATCTTTTCACGTGTCTCTGTTTGTTGGTTTGTCTGCAGAATTACACAAAAAGTACTGAACCAATTTACACCAAACTTGATAGAGGGATTGGGCCTGGGAAGAACCCATTAGATTTCGGCGTAGATCTGGTTGAAACGGTGGCTCCAGGAATTTTTTTTAATCAATTTCCATAACCGTACGAGTTGCGGACTGTATTTTTGTAGGCGATGTACTTGTGCAGCTATTTTGTGTTTTTTTAAAAAAAAAAAAAAAAAATTGTTTTCTAGAAAAAAAGTTTATATTCCAAATGGAAACAGTGGTTTTGAAATATTTCAAAGAATACCCAGTCCTCTTTATTTTAGATGAAAATCCAAAATAGAAATTACAATTTATCTTGGTTAAGTTGGTTCCAGTCTTTTTAGCATGACAATTATTTTTGGTCGGTACAAACATTTGTCAAAAACAAAGGAACCTCCAGAATGAATGTAAGAACTGACAGTTATTGTTGGACTTGTGTTTGAGGTCTGCTCTTCATCCGTCAGGACTGAGACAATCTCCTCCCTCTTTGTTTGTGTTGAATTAAACAGGTACCACGTCTGCTCAGTGAGGAAATCGCTTGTTATTGTCAGTGTTATGCAGATGAATGCGGACATGGTGTCACTGCAGCGAGTCTGAACATCTGTGTGCGACTGTGAACATATTGGTGTGGGCTGATCCTTTGTGGTTGTGAGGTGGCCAGTCAATCATATTATGGCAAGCCGAACGTGCATGTGTGGGCATGCTCCAAACTCGGCTTGTCCATTTGTGACAGGTGTTAATTATCAGTTTGTTGTGTCACAGTGTCTGTCGGTGGTTCCCTGATAGACAGACAGACAGACAGACAACAGACAATGGGCTGGTAGTGTTTGGACTAGACTTTCAATGTGGAAGTTGAATTTAGATAATTAGAGAGTTAGACACCTAGCCAGTACTCGAGAGTCATTTAAGACAACAGAAAAGTGAATAAAGTCAGCAGTGAAGCAGGCTGTATGATCTACACTCACCAAGCACTTTATTAGGAACATCTTGCGAATACTAGGTAGGGTCTCCCTTTGCTCTCAAAACAGTCGCGGTTCTTTGGGAAATGGGTTCAACAAGATGAAATTCTGCCCCATGTTGACATGACTGCATCATTTCTGCAGATTTGTCACCTGCACATTGATGCTACTGTTCTACTGTATTAAGATCTGGAGACTGGGGAGGTTACTGAAGTTCACTGAACTCATTGACTCAATCATGAAACGAGTTTGAGACGACTTTTGCTTTGTGACACGGTGCATTATCATGCTGGAAGTGGCCATTAGAATATGGTAAATTGTGGCCATAAAGGGAAGCACATGTTCAGCAACAACACTCAGGCTGTGACATTCAAACCATGCTTGACTGGTATTAAGAAGCGTGCCAAGAAAACATTCCCCACACCATTATAACACCACCAGCCTGGACTGTTGACACAAGGCAGGTCTGGTACATGGATTCATGCTGTTGTTGCCAAATTCTGACTACCATCTGCTGCCTCAGCAAAAATCAAGATTCGTCAGACCAGGCTACGTTTTTCCAGTCTTCAACGGTCCAGTGTTGGTGAGTCTGTGTCCACTGCAGCCTCAGTTTTCTGTTCTTGACTGACAAGAGTGAGACCTCATGTGGTCTTCTGCTGTTGTGGCTCATCCACGTCAAGGTTTGACGTGTTGTTCATTCTGAGATATTTTTCTGCTAGCCACAGTAGTTATGAGTTACTGTAGCTTTTCCATCATCAACCAGTCTGGCCACTCTCTGACCTCTCTCCTCAACAAGGCGTTTCCATCCGCATGACTTTTATTTGTATTTGTTGTATTTCTACACTGTGGTATCACTAGTTTTAAGTTAAGATCTGGGTACATTTTCCACCACTGGATGTATAACTAGTGAATGGGCTAAGTGGGCTACATGCTTTTTGTGGCAGGCTCTGCAAACCTCTGCAGTTACTAAATTGTAGGCGCTCCATGGTCCCAGCATGTTCCTCTCGAAATGTGAAACATCAAGGTCTGTATTGTTGTGTTGATGAATGGCTCATTGGTCTGTGGGAACCCCAACCCGATCAATTAATTTTTTTTCCTCCTTCCAAATTACACTGGTCCTCAGACAACCACTGTATTTATAAAGACCAGACGAACATAAAAAGCTAGTAGAACCCAACACACATGCTGTATAATGCTGGGATACAGAAACTGTAAAAGTTTTAGCAAAGAACCATCACTCTCAGCCTTTACTGCTTTCTTCTTCCACGGTCTCTTGCTGTGTGTTTTGCCATAGACTGATTTCACAATTGGAGAGCAACAACACCTCCTGTGTGGATGAAAACTTGGCCCACAGGTGTATGTGCACACTGATAGTCGTGGACAGAAGTCGACTAAAACAATTGACAATAGAAAGTCGAGAATTACAACAACAGTGAGGTCTGCCAGCAGATGATTATTTTGTAAAATCTGTGCACATGAACAACATTTCAGTCTTTGTCCAAGTGTGTCCTATAAGTTAGAAAAATTTGTGTTGCAAATAGTCGTCACTTTTTAGCATTGGAAGACGTTTTCTGCCCTGCACCTGACAAGAAATCCTCACTTTTTACTAATAGATTTGAGCCATTGTTGAAACAACATGGTGCAATGATCAGACATTGATTCAAAACAGAAGTCAGTTGCCAGTTCATTGTCTTTGCTTACAACATGAACGGATGTCCAGGATTTGTGTCTAACTTTGTGTGTGGTATCAGCTCTGGTTAACCG